TTGCCTCCTCTCCCCCACACACACACACACACACACACACACACACACACACAGACACACACGCGCACACACAGGCACACAAGCACACAGACACACACACACACACACACGCACGCACACACACACACACAGACACACGCACGCACACGCACACGCACAGACACACACACAGACACACACGCGCACACACAGACACACAAGCACACAGACACACACACACACACACGCACGCACACACACACACACACACACACGCACGCACACGCACAGACACACACACAGACACACACGCGCACACACAGACACACAAGCACACAGACACACACACACACACACACGCACGCACACACACACACACACACACACACACTAAGGGAAGTCGACGGCTGCAGGAAAAAGACGCCCTAGCAAGCTCTATTATAACCAGTGATGAGAGGTGAAACGAGCTGTGAGCGGCAAACGCCAGCAGAACAGACACAAAACCAACATCTGCCATAAAATAAGCAACTATAAATGCCTCACAGTGATTTAAAAATATATATGGACACATAATTTCTGAATGCCATCGCATTTGATAAGCAAGTGGTGTTCGTACAGAAAGAGCTCAAGCACACACAAAAAAAATAAATAAATAATGTATTATAATATAAGTATATGAATTTAAAATATGAAGGAAATTAAGGTAAAAATAAAAGAAAAATATAATAATAACTATTATTATTATTATTATTATTATTATTATTATTATTATAACAATAATAGTAAAAAACAATAATACAATAATAGTAATATAATTATAAGAACAAAATAAATTATCATTATTAAACCAATTATTAAACAAAATATATTATTACAGTTTTTATTAATATTATGAATATATTTTCTGTTTTCATGTGTAGTTAAAAAACAATTTAAAAGTTTAAGATTTTTTTTTTATAATTATTTTGATTCAAATGTATACCACCAATTAGCAAGGACGCATTCAATTGATCAAAAGTGACAGTAAAGACATTTATAATGTTACAAAAATATTTCTATTTCAAATAAACGCTGTTCTTTCGAACTTTCTGTTCATCAAAGAATCCTGGAAAAAATGCATCACGGTTTCCACAAAAATATGAAGCAGCAGAACTGTTTTCAACATTAATAATAATGTTTCTTAAGCAGCAAATCAGCATATTATACTGATTTCTGAAGGATCATGTGATACTGAAAATTCAGCTTTGACCACAGAAATAAATTACATTTAAACACAAATTCACATTAAAAAATGGTATTTTAAATAGTAATAATATTTCACAATTATATTTTTAAAGATTATAATGCATTTTTAATCAAATAAATGCAACCTTGATGAGCAGAAGAGACTTTTGTCATTTTTGGAGTCGCCAGGAGATTGTTTCTGACCTCTGACCTCTGTGTTTGTTTATTATCACAACTAACATCACTATCTCAATCCATTCTGGTACTCAAAGCTGATCAATAACCTCCACCCGTCCTTGTTTCGCTCTAACAGTACATCAACGTTAGTCCTCTCCGGTCTCTCACGCACATCGAGAGCATAGTCCACTGCTGACATTCACAGTTCAGAACTGAATTATTGAATTGCTGGAATATGATTTGAGATAGCGAACAGGATGAAGAATAGTAATATGCGTTTGCATTTAAGGAAAGGAAAATGGAAAGAAACTGAAATAAATGCATGTAACTGCTGTAAATGTAGTTTTTAATAATGCATTTTTTTTGTAATTCACTAACATGTTTGTTCACACACATAGAATATTTTAAAATATATATTTTTTTAAATTCGTTTTAGTTAATACATTTATTGAAAATGTCATAATATATAATATTAGATACATATAATATTAAATAATCCATTATAATATATTATATAATAACATATATTAGAAATATTTATATTTGATATAAAAAAAATATAAAATATTTAATTTCTCTGAAAACAATGTGGCAAAATGTATAAGCATTGCTTAATTTACAAAGATTATTTAATTTATATAGAATTACATTTTAATTTTATAAACCAAGGTTGAAGAAAAATGTATTAATCCCAGAAAAAAATAATGAATGCCATAATTTATTATATATAATATTACATACTATGATATATTATAAATTAAAATATTGTAAAAAAATATTTACATTTAATATTTAAAAAATACAAAATATTATTCAGTTCTCTGAAAAACGATTACAGATTATTTAAATTATATGTATAATTAAATTAACCTTTTTTAATAAACCACGGTGTAAGAGTAATTAATTTTACATAATTCATTTATTAATATTCATTAATTAAATTATTAATGTCAAAATATTTTAATAAATAATATTAAATACATATATTATTAAATAATATATACTAATACTTATTAAAATATAACAAATATTTTATTTAAATACTTTAAGTATTTGAATCTAAAACATTTAATATTACAAAAACAGTAATACAAATACAAAATAGTATTATACAAAATACTAAATATTCTTAAGTTCTCTGAAAACAATGTGTCAAAAAAAAAAGTAAAAAATAGTTTGAATGGCTCTTTGTCAGATGTATGCTACACATTAGAGAATAGTTGGTCAAAATTAATCATGCAACTGTTGAATTTCTGTAAATTGCAATTCAGTAAATTCTCTTGTAAATGTAATGCTATGCAACTCAAAAAGCAAAACTTAAAAACTTAATCTAAATTAAACTTTTATCTCAAAACACAAACTTTCATCTGTGCCTTTCTCTCTTGTTCCCTCTGCAAGCCTCAGCGGCCGCACGTGAATCGGCACGACGCAGGCAATGTGAGTCTCACTGAGAACAGAGTGTACTTCTGCAGAGCAAAACACAGACGGGTGGGAGGGGCGGGTGGGGGCGTGTCGTCGAGAGAGGGGTGGGGCTATGGAGGCGGTGCCTAATCAGAACGCTGGAAAGGAATGGGAGGGGCATGTCACGCCTCAACAAACTCGCTCTCTCGAGTCTGGACAGAACACACACACACACACACCCGAGACACGAGCAGGCACATGTGAACAAGCATGCAGAAATTTAAACACGCACTGAAGACGCACAGTGAAGGGCAGGGCAGGATTTAGGGGGGGCGGGGGCCCCTAGGCTTGAGGGTGTGTTTGAGCCCCTAGGCTTGAGGGTGTGTTTGATATCACTGAAGGGAATCTGGAGTAATGCTTGAGATCTGAACGCGCCAACGGTCACCGTCCGATGAAGGTTTTGCATCGCTTGTGTTTCAAACCAAGACAGAGGGGCGCAAAATGAAGCCTATAAACGGATAATTAGGCAGGGACGCGTCTAGTACAAGCCAGCACAGGGTTACTACACTTTTATTCCCTTGAAGTTGCTATATAAAAATGCTATATAAAATATTTACATGTAATTTTAGTAAAAATGACAAAATATTGCTAGAATTAAATATATTATATATCAAAAACGCATACTATATACTATAAAAATAAAAGTATTTGTATTTAAAATATTTACATTTAATTTGTATTTTTTATATATTTACAAAATATTTATACTATTAAGCACACAATATTAAATAGCACTGCAATATATTTTATATTAAAATATATATTTATATCTTTTAAAATAAAAATATTTGCATTTAAAATATTTACATTTAGTATTAAGAATATACAAAATATTGACATTAATATACAATATATTTTTATTAAGTTCTTTAAAACAAGCAGCGACTAATATTGCACCAGTGCAGCAAAACGGTCACTACACTTTTTTTTATTTCATGACTTAAAAAAATGCTATTCTTTTAAGGATGTCACTGTATAATGCACCAATGCATTTTCTTGCAAATTCTGCAGCGTCAAATGAATTCGAATGCACGTTCTCCCTGTTTTCCTCTGCAGCTTCTAGCAAAAAAAAAAGTCCAAGGAATCCGACCAACGCTTCAAAACTCTCACTTCTGTCACTCAAAACTCCACAACAGATGCTTGAGTTTTGGATTATTACGTTGGTGAATCTTTAAAAGTCTACAGAGGTCAGATAGAAAACATTGATGATTAACCAAAGCAGAAGATGATAAACTTAGCATACACAAAAATAACGGTTCTTTATTTGCATTGATGGTTCCATGAAAAACCTTTAACATCCATGGAAACTTTTCATTCCACAGAAGGTTCTTTAGATTCTAAAAAGGGTTCTTTTTTTAGAACTGTTCGCTAAAAGGCTCTTTTTGGACCCCAACATGGACCTTCTATGGAAAACCCGCTATTTTTTAAGAGCACAGGTGAACAGAAAGCACAGATTAGATGGTATCATTTCAAGGCTCGGGTCGGTACCTGCTCTGCTGGGACTCTGGAGGCAGTTCTGGCCCACGATCCCGGAGTGAACGGATGTGGTCGTCCGGTTACTGAGATCCACCACCGAAGGCGTAGACGGGGCAGAGGGGGGCTGCTGGGAAGGCTGGTTCTGCTCGCTCCCAGGGTTGGCGGGAATATTGTTCTCCAACAGAAACTCCTCTAAATCCATATACTCAAGCTGGAAATTGTCGCCATCATACGACAGGGTCTTGTCCCACAGGGTTGGCCCCAAGAAGGCGGACTGAGGGGCGTTGAGAGCGTTTCCATCCTCTTCCAACTTCTTCTCCTTCTCTTTGTCTTTCCCAAACCCTGGAGGAACAAGACGGAGGCGTTATTGTCACTGTCCAGCCCAAACATTTACATTTTGTCATCATTTATGCATATTTGTGTTGTGTTGCACGCGGATTTGAATAAAAACAGTACTATATTAAAGTCATTTTCACTGTAATTTCACTGGAAATGTGCTTAATGGACAATTTAAAAATGTTTTATTTGCTTTCTGCTAAATATTATTTATTACACATTTGTGTTGTTTCAGACCTGCACTTATGCTGATTTTAATTAAAATAATAATAATAATAACAATAACTTTAATAAAGTAATGAGACTGGGCGTGAAGTTTTTTTTTCCCACTGCTATGCAATAATGAGAATTTGAGGCGAAAATTTCAATTTTGCAATGAAAAAAAATCTTAATGAAAATATGCTTTTTCATGCAAGACATTGTGTTTACTTTTTGTTTTGTTTTTTCAAAACGGTTTGACTTTAATTCTTCTGTTAAACACTTAGGGAGAAATGTTGAGGAATATTCAGGCAGCTCAAGTAAAAAAGCACCATACAAATATCGAAATAAAAATCCATTTAAATCATTTTACACATATATCATTTTATGCACCTTTTTTTTTTTACAAATATGCATTGTTCCAAAACATCTTAAAAATGGCCCATAACACATTTCCATCCAAGGTCTTCTTAAGTCATACAGCAGTTTAGTTTTTACTTAGTTTTTACCAGCTGTGACATTTATGGTGCATTTTGTGACTTTGTTGCTCAGCCGTGGAAAAGAGTGGCAATTTCTCAGTATTTCTCCAGAGAAGAAAGAAAGTACAGTTTTGGAATGCCATGAGAGTGAAGAAAGCGGGTGAACTAATCCAAAAATGCAACCAAACCAACATAGTTATTGTGCATGCACTGAAAAAAGAGAATGGATATGTTATATCTTGCCAATGCACGACCTGCTTACGTGCATCCAAAGATAAAATAGCCTTTTATTTATATTATAAACGCATGATGAGGACTGAGCTAGCACAAAACTATCAGAGACTCTCAGTGGCGCCCTCTATAGGGAACTATGAGTGCAAATCCTCTCCTTGCGTGCGAACCTCTATCCAAATAAAGTCAGTATCGGTTGAGTAGACTCGGCTTATTCTTCCGCTTTGTGAGCAAATGCTTTGATAATGCGCAACATAATCATATTTTAAGCAGGTAACATTATGCATTCCGGCTAAATCCACTGCTCGATGGATTTATGTTTGCGCGTAAAATGAATGCAGTGGACTGCAATGCAATGAAAATATCAACATAAACATAATCATAAACATAAACTTCCATCTAAAATCACATTAGAATTCAAATCAATTATACATGACAGCATGCATGCATGAGCAGGTACTGAAAAACATCATGACATGACGCGCATTTACGCGCAGACTATAATGAAAGCAAAGCGCGCACCGCGCCTGACACCCAACAGCTGATGCAGAAGACCATTTAAACCCTTTCAAAGCAACAGACACCCACCTTTACCTTCATCATGGTGGAAGGGCAGCTTCATGGGGTTCTCCAGCAGGGATTTCAGGACGCCGTGGGTCGGAGGTAGGAAAGTTGGGTTTATAGGAAGAGGTCGAGACATCTTCTCCATTGCGTTAAGGAGAGATCAGTCTTTCTTGAAGAAACGAAATGAAAAAAGCCAACTTATAAAAATAAAAACTCTGCAGTGTGGTGTCGGAATACAGTCCTTAGCCCGATGAGCGGCGGTTCTTCTCGCGCGTCTGTGAGTTCGGCTGGCTGGAACGCAAAAGCGCAACTGATTCGCAATTCCATGTGCGAAGACTGACGTCCGTGACGTCAATGGACAGGGCAAGCTCGGCCAATGAGAGCTCGCGGGGCGTGGTCTTCCATCATGCATCATGACTCGATACATTGTTGCTCGTACGCGATTACATTCGTTTTGCGTTTCGAGATTGTAACCACTGCAATGTATTTACCTTATGCTGTTTTTAACATAAATAAAACTCATTCACATGTGAGAGGAAGTACACATGAAAATAATAGAAGGATTTAATATCATTTAACTATTCTATTTATTTGTGCTGTATAATTACAACCTGAAAATGGATTAAATTAATGTTGAATATTGAAACACTATTGAATATTATCTACATACTATTATAGTTTCTATTAATATTTTAAGCAGCTTTTATTTGTATATTGTTTTTTTGTTTTTTTATAGTAATTTTGTTATGTACTTTAATATGTTTTTATTATTAAATATTACTAATTAGGTTCAATTAATTTGTATTCAATTTTTTTGTTTTAGTTTCATTTGAGTTTTTATTTATTTCCAGTTAGTAATTTTAGTCCTTTGACTAAAATTTATTTCAGTTTATCACGGCAACATTTCTAATTTTCTAGTGTATTTATTTATTTAGCTTTATTTCAACCAACAACCATACTTTTAGTTTTAGTTCACAATAACAACACTGTAAAATAGTGGGTCTGTTCCAAAACCTAGTGATCTGGAACTCCCTACATAGAACATGGAACTCTTCGCCTACATTGTGTTTTTGATGGACAGCTACAGGATGCTTCGTGGAACAATGCAGATATCATCTATAAAGTACACTCAGTCAGTGCATACAGTACAATTGGGAAATTAGTTGAACTGAATTCATTGTTTTACATTCTACCGTCTCTAAACACAAAATCATCTTCTTGGAATGGCCAGTGCTCCCTGACTACACAGTAACAGCCAGTGCTAGTAACCAGCAGTCACCAAAACAAGAACTTGCGTGCGTGTGATTGGTGGAGTGTTGCATGCGCGGAACACAACATCCAATCACAGTGAAGCTGGAGCGCAATGCGCTGAATTAAGGCACATCTGGGCAGCGTTCAGCCCTCGGCTGGGACTGACCTACTTTTGTCCAATAGCAGCAGCCAGTCGGTAATTCCGGTGAGATCAGAACGGCCACGGCACATTGAATGTCATGTGTTCGCGATCCTGTAGAGTGAGTCTGTGAAAACAACTCCAGCTCTGACTTCATGTCTGCACATTTACACTGATGATGACCACACCGGTCGGTATCAATACTATCAAATAAATCAGCGTTGATCGCCTATTGATTCCCTGGATATAAAGATACAATTATACAGTCTAATGTGAGTGGGTTAGAATCACTTAAATATCTGCTTTCAAGCAAGTCCAAAACGTGCACCAGAGGCAGCTGAGCAGCGTGCACCGGTAGCTGAGTGAGACGGAGCGTGCGACAGCTCTCCTATGAGAGAGAGAGAGACAGAGAGTGTGTGTGTGTGTGTGTGTGTCATGCTTAGTAACGGCGGTTGCCACAGCAAAGAACTGTTGTGACGACGCATGCATAAAAGTAGGACACACACACACACACACACACATGTCTGGTCAGCTATCCTTGTGGGAAATCTCCATAGGCGTAATGGTTTTTATACTGTACAGACCCTATATTCTATTGCCCTACACCAACCCTACCCCTCACAGGAAACTTTCTGCATTTTTAGATTTTCAAAAAACTCTATTCTGTATGATTTATAAGCTTTTGTACCCGTGGGGACCACAATTTAGGTCCCCACCGTGACACGAGTCCCCATGAGTCTGTGTGTAGTCAGGTTTAAGTCCCCACCAGGATATATAAACCACTACACACACACACACACACACATGTTGTGTTTTCATGTTTTATGGGGACATTCCATAGGCGTAATGGTTTTTATACTGTACAGACCGTATATTCTATTGCCCTACACCAACCCTACCCCTAAACCTACCCCTTACAGGAAACTTTATGCATTTTTACTTTCTCAAAAAACTCATTCTGTATGATTTACAAGCTTGTTTCCTCAAGGGGACCTCAAAAATGTCCCCACAAGGTCAAAATTTACTAGTATTACTATCCTTGTGGGGACATTTGGTCCCCATAATGTGATAAATATCAGGCACACACACACACACACACACACAAGAGAAATAATGAGCAGTGACAGCAGAGAATAATAGACGCCATGACAACTGCTGAAAGCACTCATCATCTTCATCATCATCATCATCATCTTACAGCAGCTGTGATATCTCACTGTATGCACTGAAAGACTCGTGCACAAGCAACAGAAACAGACACTGCAGAAACAACAGGAGGATAAAACTGTCTATCCATCCATCTATTGTCTGTCTGTTCTCCAAACAAATCTAACAACAAATCGATTCAGTCGCTCACACAGAATGAGTGATGATGCTCGTGGAGTAACAGCGGCACAGATGGTCGATCTCATCTGTTCCCTGTCCTAAAAGATAAAATACGATGTGGAAGAAACACATTTGCTGCTGAGACTGCAGTTTCAGTGACGTGTCACCTACATTCCCTCCTGTCTCTGAGAGTATAGCCTACGAAATGACAGATTTCGTAATTAAAGAGATTCTCCAGTCTGATGGGAGTCCAGTGAAATACAGTTGCCTAGGAATGAAGGCTAGGGTTGTATCAGTACCAAAGTCCAAATATAGCGAGATACACTGACGGGAGTCTGTTTCGAATTAAAGGATGCTTGTTAGGATGCCGTGTTGTGTTGGGTCCACTCACTCCACCCACAGGTACACGACCCTCACGCTGGAGCGAAAGGCCCGCAGTCTCAGCTCCTGTCCTCTCCACTTTTCTTTCGCCCCGTCACATCCTGCAGCAGCTACTGTATTCATCCTGAAGGCCTGCGTGAATCAGAGAGGGGGGAAAATGGTAAAAATAGCCAAATTTCTAGTGGGAGTTATGTGAATTCATTCAAGCTGTTGACTCTTTGCAGCACATACCACAGATATTAAAAGGATTATTGGCCAATACATGAATGTAATAAACCATAAGTGGAGCAATATGCATCTGTGTCTTTCCTAAACAGTTGCTAAAATCTCACAAATAACACACAAACCTTTGTTTTTAGAAATAAATTCATATTTTTATATAGCAAGGATGCATTAATTTAATCAAAAGTGAAAGTAAATAATGAATGTATCATGATTTCCACAAAAATATGAAGCAGCACAACTGTTTTCAACATTGATAATAATCAGAAATGTTTGAGTAATGATGCTGAAAATTCAGCTTTACACCACATCAATAAATTACATTTTAATATATATTCACATAGAAAACAGTTATTTTAAATTGGAATAATATTTCACAATTGTTGCTGCATTTTTGATCAAATAAATGCAGCCTTGGTGAGCACAAAATAAATTTTTCAAAAAACATTAAAAAAAATAAAAAATCTTTCCGACCCCAAACTTTCAAAAAAGTGGCTAATACATTTCTGATTATCAGTACTATAGTTTTAACAAAATAAATTGACATAATCATCCAAAATATGTCACAAATCAAGACATTTGACACTAGATTACATGTATTAAGTGTTAGAAAGCAGGCAAAAATGAAAGATACATGTTTGTATAAACTATATCTTTGATCATGTTTCACTTCAGACAATAGAAACCTGAGATCACATTATTATCAGCTGAGGAAGAGAAATGGAGATGAAAATGGAGATATGATAGGTACTTCACACTGTCAGATACGGTTTCTTTCCCGTAAAGTCTTCCGTGGATGTTTTCATTGTCTCCTTCTTCAATGCATAAAGAGATGCTTTGTCTTTTGTTATTGCATTGTTAATAAAATACTGCATTTTTAATAAGATTTCATGTGCACAAACCACATTTAAAACAAATGTAGTTTCAAACGAATTAACTATAAAAATACATGTTTAATTATATACCCTTTTAGTGCCGATGTCACAATTACGTCACAGCATTAGCTGGAGGCAAAACAAAGGGATAACTAGAAGCGGCCAATACAAACCAGCACAGAGTCGGCTACATGAGGAGCTTAAAATGTCATCTTTGAGTGTCAGAATCGATGGAGTACAGGCTCCAATTTGAAATTTTATCGCATACCTGCTGCCATTGCCAGACAAAAAACAACGACAGCTGTGGTTAAACGCAATAAATTGAGTGGACTGGACAGAAACGATCATCAAAAATGCTCATGTTTGCAGCGCACACTTAATATCAGATAAGGTTAAATAAACTATTGTCTTTTGTTGGTATGGATTATGGTTTGGTTACAAGTCTAAAGATTTCTCATGCATGCCCATCTAATCAGAAATTGGGGAACAAGTTAGCGGCTAAACATAAAGCAAACCGTTTGTGTCGTCTCGCTTTCTACATTTGCCATAAGTGCAACTGTAGAGAGAGGGAACAGTAAAATGTGTCAGGTGTGTGTTCAAGTAGTTGCATTTGCTTACAATTGCCACTGTTAATACATAGTTATATGCATCTAAAGATTGATATGCCCTCAGTTTCAGGCCACTCCTGTCAGATGGTCCATCCATTGAGTGAGTGTGTATGAGTCGGCCAATCTGGTTCCTTCCATTAAAGTTTACATTTTTAAACAACAATCACGAGCCGTGACATTACATATTCATATAAAATCAACATTTCTCCAATCATTGTTAAAAAACAAGCAAACAAAACTTACTAGCTAGTGTTACACTCTAAAAAATGCTGGGTTAAAAAGGGACAAACCCAGCTATTGGGTTGTTTTGACCCAGCGGTTGGGTTGTTTTGAACCCAGTGTTTTTTAGAGTGTATGAAGCAGTCAGGGGAATCTTTCTGCCTCCACCAAAGCTCCGTCCATAAAAAAAAAACCTCCCAATGTTTACTGACTGAAAAGGGGTCTATATAAAGAAATCCTTGTTCAGGATAAAATATTTCACATCTGAGCAACAGGTTAATCGAGATGCTTTTTCATAAACACCT